CCCCACACATTAAGGCCGCCACTCGGGGCTGGACAGATAAAACTCTGGAGAGCACTAGACTACTCATCCATGGCCATGATCTTGAATGAGGGATGTCCCTCCTAGACTGAGGCAGAGATGAACTGCCTCAGGACATGGCCAGGGCAGGGCGACTAAACAGACCCCAGGGTGACCCCAGCGAGGTGGCAGGGTCACTGTCCAGTTGCTGTGGGGCCGTGTATCCCTCTGAGGGGAAGGAAGAGCTGAGCACAAATACAGACAGGTTTTTAGAGCTTCTGAGCGCAGCTTCTAAAATCTGACTGCGCTAGTTTTGCACCTCGGTTCACCACTTTCTAGCTGGCTGACCTTGGGTAAGTCACTTCCCTTCTCTGAGCCTCACTTACCTTATCTGTTATATAGAGGTGATAGCAACCCTTTCCCAGAAGGGCGTATATGGGTAAAGTTCTTAGAATTGGGTCAAGTAAGGGTCAAGGGGGCAAGTTCATTACATTTGAAAATGGTTACAGGAAATTTTGTAGCTACAGGGAGTTGTTGAAAGGCATTTTTCCCCCCTGGGCCACACCAAACACTATTCTCCTCAGCTGTACCAGCACCCCCCACCCCCAAAATTCAGGGAGCCCCATGTTCACCCCGGGCAGGAGTGGCCACTTGGCTGCTTCAAAACGAGATCTTTTATCTGGGTGAAACTTACTGGGGAGACGGCTGCCAGAGAGGAGCTCACCAGAGAGCCTGATGGGAGCGCAGTCTCCCTTAATAACATGGCTGGAGGGCAGACAAAAGCTGGCTTTTCCCAGAGCCCATTCTCAGGGGTTCCTGCAGCTGTGTGGCCAGGCAGAGAGGTGGCACTGGGTATGTGCATGCGTGCGTGTGAATAGTTTAGTTTGCACAGTGAAAAAGCCCACCCGGCCACTCTGGAACCCCTTGACGAGGCTCACTGAGGACTACACAAAGAGGTACAGAGAGGTATGTGCCCCCAACATGGAGACCAGGGACTCGGACAGATCCTTGTATGTGCAAGTTCGCAGCAGCGTTATTCACAGCGGCCAAAAGGTCGGAACGAGCCAAATGCCCATCCGCCGGTGGAGGAGAGTGAGCAAGTTGGGCCATATCCAGGTGATGGGCTCTGAGCCAGCCATCAAAAGGGAGGAAGTGCTGATACCTGCCACAGCATGGACAACCCTTGTCCATGTGGAAGTGGAAGAAGCCAGGACCGAGAGAACAAATATTGCATGGTTCTTTACATACGAAATAACCAGAATAGGTAGATCCGCAGAGACAGAAAGTAGATTTGTGGTTGCCAGGGGCTGGGGCGGGGGAGGAGAGACTGGGGAGTGACTGCCTAATGGGTGAGGGGTATTATTTGGGGGCGATGAAATGTTTGGAAGCAGCGAGAGGTGGTGATTACACAACACTATGACTATGCTAAATGCCACTGAATTGTTCCCTGCAAAGTGGTTCGCGTTACATCACATGAAGTTCACTTCAAAACACAAACAAACCAATGAGTGACGGCTCAGAGGCACCCAGGGTCCTGGTGATAGAATTGCAACTGGACCCCTGACCTCTTGGGCCACCTGAACTTCTGCAGGGGTTGCTTTAGAGATAAGGACCCCTGGGTCCCCTCTGCTGGACATGTTAACAGGGTCAGAATTTCCTTGGAAATCTTGGGCTGCTGAGCTGTGTCATGAGCCAAAGACTCTGTAGCTTGCAGATCCTTGCAGCTGTGATGTCTCATGGGAATAGGTGAGGTCACCACCTGGTACAGTTTAAAGAGGCAAACTTTATTCTGAAGTGGACCCCGTTGTCATGGCAACCGATACTCCACACGAAGCAGCTCAGGCCACTTTCGATGGAGACTGGAGAGAATACTGACGCTTCTCTTTGGGGTTTTCTGTCTGCTACTGGTACTGGCTCGTGGGCTCTCAGGGCTCAAGTTAGCCCCGTAAACATCACCTGGAAGATTGGTGAGATGTGGTGAGGATGACATTTACCATCTTGGGGTGTGCTCTGCCATGTCCTGGGTCCTCCCAAAAGATAAAGTGAGGGTCAGAGTGGCACTGATAGGGAACAAGAAGCATGCCAGCTCTAGCCATCAGGCTAGATACGGATCCCAAAGGAGGTGGTCACTGTGCCCTGAGCCCAAAGGGGAGGAAGCAGGCACTGCAGGGCTCTAACCCTGCCCAGGAAAGTGGAGGGTGCCAGGGAAGATTTTGTTCATCGTAAGGGCACTCGGCAGAGGGGTGGAAGAAGGGCAAAGAGCCAGCTGAATTCCTCAGGATGGCCAGTTTGGGCTACCCATAATTAAAAAAAAAAGGTGCTGTGGTTAGAAAACCAGGGACAGAGGACAGTGGGCAGGCCCACGCTGGTTTTGGAGTCTGCTGGATATGGGGTCCGGCCCTTTTTGCATGACTCAGGCTCACCCTGAGTCCATGGAGTTGGACATGACCGCCTTGCAGTGAGCCCAGAGGAGCTTCTCATACTCACCACTTCTGCCCCCCCTCTTCACCCTGCTGTTCTCCTTGAAAGGCTATCCCTAGAGCCCAGATACTTGGAAATAGGACCCTGGACTCGTTGTTCAGCTTTGAGAAGCCCCAGGGAACAGAAGAAGAGTTGAGAATTGGGAGCTGGCAAGGGTCTTCATTTTTCCCAAATGGATGTTGGAAATGATAGGCTGATACTCAGGAAATTCAGGAACAGACTATGAAACAGGTGGCTTGGGAATCCTTGAAGGGAGAGTGGTTCCTAGGCCCCCCTGTGTTCGTGGAGAGCACATCACGCTGGGCACCATTTCCTCCTTCTTTTGTGGTTTGTTGACGCAGGAGAAACTCACAGGCCTGGTAATGACGACTGCATGGCGGCCGTGTGCTCTGGCCAGTGCTGTGACCTCAGCCCATGGTGCCTGCTCCACGTGGGTCTTCTCTGGCAGAACCACTAGGCTGCATCTGGGATCTCCCTGGGGCCTTCTGGGTTCCTGCAATGACCTTGGGCTGAGATCTTTGGAAATGGGCTATAGGTTTGTTGAATTGGGTCTGGGATTTCTGAAGATCAAAGCTGTGGATCCCGGCAAGAGATGCGCAGTCAGGAGGATGGCTAGTAAGCTTGGAACCTGAAGTGGTAGGTTCAGATCCCCCCTGGGTCCCTTAGGGCACCTGTGGGCAGCTCTCCTTGCCCCTCTGAGCCTTAATGTCCTTGTCTGAGCCGTGAAGATGATAAATAATGTACATGGGAGCATGAAAATTAAAGAAGACAAATAATACTATAATAAAAACATGTTTTTGAGTCCTTACTCAATGCCAGGCATCTCTACATGGCACCCCTGCCCATGTATTTCCTCATTTAACCCACAAAACCCTAAGACGTGGATTCTAATATTGCAGATACTTTATAGACCAGGAAACTGAATGTTAGGAATCAGCTAAGCTACATGGACAGAGCTGACATTTAAAACCAGGACAGAGTAGTTACAGAGGCCACTGGGATGGTCTAGAACAGTAAAATGTAAAAAAAATGTATGTATGTATGTATTTCAGAGAGGGGAGGGGAGGAAGAGAGGGAACCGTCAATGCGTGGTTGCCTCTCGAGCGCCCCCTACTGGGGTCCTGACCCACAACCCCCGCAGGTGCCTTGACTGGTAATCGAAGAGGCAGGTGAGCCTTTAGGTCGCAGCCTGGCCCTCAACCCCCTGAGCCACACTAGCCAGGGCTGATTTTTTTTTTAAAATATTTTTAACATTTATTTTAGAGAGAGGGAGAGGGCAGGGGAGAAAAGGAGAGGGAGAGAAACACTGATGTGAGAGAGAAGCGGACGGGTTGCCTCTCACACAGGCCCAGAGCCGGACCAAACCGAACCCCAGGCCTGGGCCCTGATGGGGAATCCAGCTGAAGACCGTTCGCTTTGCCGGATGACGACCAACCAAGTGAGCGGCCTGGTCGGGGCTAGAACAGCGATTTTCAGCCTGCGTGCTGCAGAATTTTTAAAACGTGCAATCCCTGACTATTTAGTCAGGGGAACTGACCCATTTTCCCTTAGACTGTCAAATAAAAAAAACAACAGTCAACCCAACAATAGGATCTGGCCTGAATGAATCAAAATTATACCTATTTTTGTCAGATCAGTCAAAAATATATGTTTGGGTGTGCTGCAGAATTTTAGCAGTTAATGTGTGCCACGAGATAAAAAAAGGTTGAAAAATCGCTGGTCTAGAACCGTGGTCCTCAAGCTTGACTGTGCGTCAGAATATTCTGGAAGGCTTATGAAAGCACAGTCCTCTGGTCCCCTCTGCAGAGGTTTTGATCCAGGAGCTCTGTGGTCAGGCCTGAGAATTCACCTTCCGAGGGATGTTGACATTGCTGGTCTAGGACCACTTTCTAGCTCTAGAAGTAGTAGGCAGTAAGGCGTGGGCAGTTAAAAAAAAAGACCAAATTTATAAAAGGTAGGCCAAGAGACATAATGGCACGAACATGGGCGTGAAGAAGACCCAGGCTGGGTTCAAATCTTGACTCCACCACAGACACGTGTTCATCTAGCAGAGTAAACTGAGAGGCAAACACCGAGGCTGTGAGGGTTAAGCAGCTGGTACCCCAGGACCAGTCTCTCCGTCCTCATATGCCTGGGTCCAGGCTTCCGCTCCCCCGGTCCGCAGTCGCGCACCGCAAGCGCGCCTCTCCATCTCTGAGCTCTGGGCTCCGGGGTCCAGCCCGGTAAGCGTTGCCATGGCAGCGCCGCGAGCCGGGATGCTGGAGGCTGAGCGAGCCTCGAGGTTGGTCCCTTTGTGCGGCGGGGGCAGCGGTGCCCCCGCCCCCCCCCCACTCCGGGCCGCACCCCCGCTCCCTGGTCTGGACCCCCGGGGAAGGTAGGGGGTGGAGTGTGCTGTGGCTGGGGTGCGGGGAGGAGCGAGGAGGGCCGAGGCGAGGGCCGGGGGTGGGGCACCTCCGCCTGCCAGACGCTCCTGCATTAAAATTTCTTGGGCGCTGCAGCAGCTACAAAGACGATGCCGGCTGCGCTCGGGGGACCAGAGGGAGGGAGGCTGCGGACGAGTACGGGGAGGAGTTTGCGATGGGAGGCGCTTGCAGGGGCTCCCCAGTTCTGCGCTGTGAGCCCGGGCACAAAGAGACCTCTGCACTCGAGCCGCAGGACCGCCGACTCGAGGTGAGCCGCCGCCCCGTCCTCAGGTCGCCCTCTCCGCGAGCATCCTTGTCGCCGCGCCTGGAACAGCCTAACTCCCCGAGGGTAGGTCGCAGGGTCCCGGGCAGGGTTCAGGGGACGGCAAACGCTACCTGAAGTGCCCCTGGTTTGATGGATGAAGAGCCTCTCCCTCCAGCCTGCAGTTATCAAATGCAGCTAAGACGCCTGCTTGGGTGGGGCACCGGGGAAGGGAAAGGGAAGGATGCCCCGGGGGTCCAGTGAGGATGGGGAACAAAGACCTTCCCCCCCCCCCCCCCACCCCGCTCCGAGACAGACATGAGAGGACTCTGGACCTTTCTGATCCGCCAGGTTAGCTGTTAATTGGCCAAATCTTGGATAGAGCCCAGTGGTCTCAGAACTGGGGGTGGGGGCGGGTTGGTGGAGCAGAGTCCCGGAGCCCCCTTCCCTCATATTGAACACCGCCCCCCCCACCCCCCGCCCCACCACTAGCTCTTGCCAATGCTCCACTTCTGGGACTCAAATTCCAGATGTCCGGCGTCCTGCGTGCGGCTCCAAAAGGGTGGAGAGGGGGCAGAAAACCACTGATAATTGTAATAACGATCCACCAGTTTACGCAGAGCTTGCCCCATGCCAACGGCATGCTCAGTGCTTTGCATGCGAATCACAGCGGTCCCATTTTAAGGGTGAGAAAATTTAGATCCGGAGAGCGTTACGTGCGCGTCCAAGGTCGCAGAGCTAGGGATTTTGAGTCCAGGTATGTCGGACTGTAAGGCCCAGGTTACACCCCCAAATGGGGCCGAGAAGAACCAGAAGCCGCCAGCTCCCTGCCCACCTCTCCTCCCTTCCAATGCATCTCTGGAAAGGCTGAGAATTGGGCAGGAGCGGGCCAGCTCTCTCCTCTCCCCCAGAGGAGGGCCCTGGGCTAGAGAAATTGCTTCTTGGACGGTGCAGGGGGAGGCCCCGGGAGTCTGGATATTCCCCATCCTCATCCCGGGCTCCAGACCAGGGGCCGCCGTGAGCGGGATTGCTGTCGCGCACACCCCACTGCAGTGCCGTGGCGGGGAAAACGCCCCACCTGCTGCTGGGGGAAGACGGGAGGGAGGCAGTAGTGCGGAGAGGGTGGGGACAGAAAGGTGAGTTAACCTGCTGGAAGCGGCTTTGTTTTTCTCGGCGCCAGCCTCAGACGGAGCGCGCGACCCAGCGGCAAGGTGCTTTCTTTCCGAAGCACATTCCCATTGGGGAACGTCTCGGGGCTTCTGGTTCGCTGGGCGCGGGGTGGGGTAGGCGGGTAGGGATGAGTAATTCCACTTGACAGACGGGGAAACCTGAGGACAGCGGTGCTCAGACTTCAGGGGCGGAGCTTCAAATACGCAGACGTGCGGCCACGTGGCCAGGGGATGAGTCAGCAGGACTGGGAGGGGCTGGACATCTTGGGTGTGTGCTCTGACCCCCGTCTCCTTCTCCTCCGGCCTGTGGACCCACCGTCGGTGGAGAGAACAGCCCGCCCGCCCCCACTATCTACCCTCATCCCTGGCTCAGAACCGTGTAGCAGTCTGGGCCAAATGGTTTCCTCGGAGACGCTTTGCCAACCCCTGGCTTTTGGGTGGCCTCGAAAACCCATACCGAGTTTAGTTAATTTCATGATGAAGGATTTTGAGGTGACATTCCCTGTGCCCCCCCCAAAGCCCACCTATTTTATTATGTAACGACCCTCCATGGAGAAAGACGTCGAAGTCTACCTTGCATCCTTCTTCCTGCCTTTCCCGCCCATCTCTCCACTTTTTAATGGAGGAAAGCGCTCCTGTCTCCACACATCCTACCGGGAGCCTTAGAAGAACCACACTCTCTCTGCCCACTTCCAAAGGAGAATTTTCTGATTTGGGGTGATTTTTACAAATTTGATAAACTTATTAAAATACATGAAGATTTGAGGAAAAAGATGGGGAGAAAATTTTCTAGTTTCCTCATCCAAGAACAACTTCCGTGTTTACCGTTTTCATGTACCTTCTTCTGGTACCTGTTTCCACACTGAAAATACTCATCGAGACTGTGCGGGGCGTGTACAGCTTTAACCAAGTTCCGTCAAAGGTGTCTGTGTGTGTGTTTCACACCGCCTGCAGAAATCATTGTGGGGTTGGTGTTTCAGGAATTAGACAAACACGCTTGCTCTGCTCAGTTTCCTATCGTTGGACCTGCTGGTTGTTTTCTTTGTATCCACCTACATGTTTAAGTGTCTTTCTCTGGACCTGATCCCACGCTTCGTCCAGGGCAGGACTACGCTCTTTGAATTTGTCCGTCATCACGGCAGTGCGGTGTGGTGGGAGGAGAAAGGACCCTTCTCTCCTCCTGCTCCCCGTGACGGCTTCAGGAAGGAGGTATCTCCCTTCCCGGAGCCTCGGTCTCCTTATCTGTGAAGTGCGAATCAGGACGCCTGCTTTAAAAGGCTGAGGCTCTGAAGCAGTGTGTGTAAAATGCCTGACACCCAGTAGATGCTTCATAAAGACACTGCTGCAATAGTGTAACCACTGTGTACACGCAGAGTTCATTTCCACGGCCCCTGAGTCCTGTACAGATAGAGGCTTGGTTATCTGCCTTGAAGTGTATCGGGCTGTTGGTTCTTCAGGGCGAGCCCTGGGCTGTGTGGGTAGGGCGTTTCCGGAGCACTGGGCCCATTATGCAGGTTCAATGGGCTGGTGAATAACTTACAGCAGAAGCCTTTGTTCCCAGGGGATTCTTCCTCTCCTCTCCTCCACCCGGGCTCATCTGTCAGCTGGAGCTCGGGAACAATAGCCAGAGATACTCAGGGGCAGAGGCAGGGGCCTGCTGAGGGTGACATCTGTTTCCCCATCCCTCTGTCGGCTGATTGGCTGATTGGATCAGATGCGGCAGGTGTCCCGTCTCCCTCCTGGTGCCAGGTGGGCCCCTCTGAAGGTTACTGAATGATGCATGGAAGGGAGGGAGGGGCTGAACTGTTGTTGTGTGCTCAGGAGTGTGGAGGAGGTCATTCATTAACCAGCTCTAGCTTCTGTTTAGTAACCATTCTCCAAGGTTCTCGCTGGACACTGCGTCTCGTCCATGTCCATAGGAAGGCTGGGAGGTGAGCATTACAGACGAGAAACTGAGGCCCAGGAAGGTGAAGTGACTAGCTCACACAGCAAGTTCATTGTAGAACCAGCATTTGAACTTGGGTCTTGGGTCTTGGTATAACTCTGAAACGTGTTTGTAACTACGACACTATACCGCACTGCACGACAATACTGCCTCTCCTAAAAGTGGACTAATTGTCTCAAGATCATGGAAGTAATCAGAGTAAACCCATCTGAGATGGTTTAACAGTCAAGGTCCAGTGTCTTCACAGTAACACTAATGTGGACGGCCAGTGTTTCCCATTTTCAAGTACCTCCTTCAGGTCTTTTCGCATTTAATCCCCACCCCTACACTTGAACCGAAGTCTTCTGCCCCGCTGGGGTCCAGCAGGCCTGTTTAGAATCCATTTGTGCCATTTTGTCTCTGGGTGATCTTGGAGCAAGGCGCTTAACCCTGAACCTCAGTTTCCTCCTCTGTAAAATGGGCACAATAAACCCAGCTCCTGTTTTGTCAGGTAGATAAAGGTGCCCCTATTCGTATCTACCAGGAAATGTTTGTTGACCTTCCTTTCTCTCCTTCTTGCTTTTCTGCCCCCTCCCCAACTTCCCCCCAGCTCAGAGGTTCCTTTGTTTGAGGGAGATTCGGGTTCCGAAGGTCCTCTTTTGTGTCTGTTGTTGGACTTTGTCTAGAAACAGTACATTCTGCGCCTCTGCAGAAGCCTCCATTCCCCTCAGCGTCTCCTGCGTGCACATCCTGCTATTCCCAGGAGCTTCCTTATTTCTCAGCACTCACTCATCCAAAGCAATTTAGGCCGGCGTTTCCCGCAAGCCTCTTATCTCTTCTATTTTATTCCAGAGTCAGGGAAAAAACCCAAAACCCAGAGGGATCCTCAGATGCAACCGAATGCATGTTTCCCTGGCAGCTGTTCATCATTACCAGGAACAGCGCACAGAGTTTAGTGGGGCGGGGGAGGGGGGCGGAAATGAACAGCCTCTGGGCGGTGTTAATGAACGATGTGCACAGGGTAGTAAATAGAATGCAAGTGGATAGAGAGGATTTATCATCCCATTTAATTCTCATAATAGCCTTGGGGGTCAGGCACTTATTGTCTCCATGTCTAGGATAAGAAGCCGGACCCAGAGGGGTGATGCGCTTACTCAGGGGGGCAGAGCTGGACAGGGACCTGCGCCCTGAAGTCCTAAAGTGGGTTAGGGTGTTTTGACTGGCGCTGGTTGGGCCCAGATACCTCCCCGCCCCGTTTAGCTTCTGCTCTGCATCTGATGAGATCGGTTTTGGGCACAGCCTATGATTTCAGACCAGAACCCTGGCGTCTTCTCTCCAATGTGCCAACGGGTACGTGTTTACCCCTCACCCTGCTCTCTTCCTCTCTTGATGACAGGTGGGGCCACTGTGGCCGTGACAGCATCAGAGGAGTAACCAGGATGACCCGTCCTCTCCTCCATGCACCCACGGGGTGGTAGAGACCAGCACCGCGCTCAGGCCTGTTGACTGTGAAATCTGCATCCGCTGAGACCTGGATCTCAGAGGTAGGCAGGGCCTCCGGGATTCTCTGGGCTCCAGTCCCTCCATCAAAGCTTCTCCGGCTTGAAGTGGGTGGGGCGTGGCTCCTGTGGGCCAGTGGACGCCGAGATGCTGGGCCCTGGGACCCCCACCGGGTCTCTGTTATCCAGCCCTCCTCGGTTCTTGTCCTCTGTCATCACAGAGAAACAAGTTTTACAAAAATGACCTCACTGAGGCAGAATTTACGTACAATGAAATGCGCCCATTTAAAGTGTACATTTTGGTGTGTTTTAGTGTACACACACCTAGCTAACCACCATGGCAATCAAGATAGAAAACATTTTACCCCTTAACAGTGCCCCTGTCCATGGTCTTCCAGCCCCAGGCACGGGGAGCCACCGGTCTGCTTCCTATGCCCGAGGATAAGATGGCTCATTCCACAGTGCCGCCAATAGGGAAACTTTTGTGCTTGGGCTTTTTCCTTTTTCTTTTTCTTTTTCTACTTGGCACCAAGTGTCTGAGGTTTGTACTTGTTTTTGCATGAATCAGAAGTTCTGTCCCTTTTTGCCTAACGTCATGGAGGCATAATGTAAACGGTATAACTCACCCACTTCAAGAGCGCAGCAGAGTGATTTTCAGTAAATTTACCGAGTTGTGCGCCCAGCACCCGAGATCAGTTTTAGAGTTTCTGTTGCCGCCATAAGAATCCCCGCCCCACCCTTCATCCCCCGGCAACCACCAGTCTACCTACCATCTCTGTGGGTTTGCCTTTTCTGGGCATTTCATATAAGTGGGATTATCTGGCACGTGGTCTCTTGTGCCTGGCTTCTTTCACTCGGTACATTTTTGAGGTTCACCCATGCCGTCCTGTGTATCAACAGTTTGTCCCTCTTCACCGCCGATCAGATTCCATTAGATGTGGGTACTGTGGGTGGGTGGTCCAGTCACTAAGAAGGGGTTTGGATTAGAGCTGTGCTTTCTAATCGGGTGTTTATCCCCCCTCCCCAGGGGGCACCCAGACCACGGGAAAACTATGACTCCTATTGCTGGGACATCAGTATCCCCCCAAGATTTACTTGAAGTTTATTTTAAATCATTAACTGGTGAGAGTAGCTGTTGGAACATTTACTGTGTGCCACGCACTGGCTAAACCTTGGAGAATGAACTTGGAGTCACATGATGGACCCGTGGGGTTGGGAGCCTCATCTGTGCTTGTCTGACCTCAGAGCCTTCTTTTCTTCTCTCCTACACAGCTGTCCACCTGACCCAGGAGCTGACATTGTCCTTGAGAACGCCATTGTCTTAGTGACCTCCAGGATGGGCACACGAGGGCCAGGAGACAGGGTCTTTCTGGTCACACAATGCTCCCCCAAGGACGTCTTTGCTGAGCATAGCAAGTTCCTGGGGCAGTATTGAGAGAAGGCAGTGTCTGACTGCTTCTGGATGGCCAAGACCACGCAGGAGGCAGCCTTGCAGATAAGTATTCGAACTTACCAGCCCGCAGCCTCCCAGCCTGCCCTGTCCTGGTCTGTGCGGACAAGCGCCCCCTGGTGGGAGGGGGCATTGGTGATGTAGCTCATTCACTTTTCTTCCTCTGTGCCACAAAGGAAGAGCTTGTGCCCACGTTATAGGGCCCCACGAAAGGTAATATTCACACGCTGCTTTTGGCGTCAAGGATGGTGTTTTAGAAAGTCCACTCTCAGGAACTGCTGAGGGGCTGAGTTGAATTGCTTCATTGAGAACTGGCTGATGTGGTCTCAGAGGAGGCTGGGGACTCCTGGTGACTTGGGCTGGCCCTTCTGTCCTCAGTACCGACCCTTTGTTCTAGTTATACAACTCGGCCAGGGCTCCTTTGCCTGGCGGTCAAGTGGGGACCACAGCCACTGCCTATAGGACACATTTTTCTCAGTGCCACCAGAGACCTGTGCCCCAAGTCCCAGGTGCCCACAGCGGGTTCTGAAATATCTGTGGAGGGCCACCGACTCTTCTAGCCCAGGTTTGTCAGTTGATGAAGGTGGCTTATCTGTCACCCAAAGCATAACCTGGGAGGTGGTCCGGGCCAGAATAGTGGGCATCTGAGGAGGTGGTAAGGGGAATAAAAATAACTGTGACTGAGAACCAGGGCCCCTGCTCTTTCCTGCCCGCTGTCACTACTGGGTACCTCGGGTGACTGTCAGGGCTGGAAGGGTCCCACGGCCCCAGGATGGGGGGGACAAACTTTCCAGGGCTACACAGCACAGCAGAGATCCAAACTCCCCACTCCTGACTCCGTTCCGTTTTTCCCAGTTCCCACTCCGCTGTTTCTGGGGACCAGGGAAATGGGTGAAGGATGTCCCCAGGTGGTATGAAGGGAGGAGGAGGGGATGTGCTGGGCCCCGCCCCTCTTGCTCTCAAGCCTTCCCCTTCTTAGCAGAGGATTCTGCCCGGCCCAGGACTGGGTGGGGCCTGGGGAGGGGCCTGCCTGCAGTTTTCTCCTGCAGTGTGGTGGCTCTTTTGTCTTCCAGGATGGGCTTGTGGGGCTCTGCGTGGGAGCCGGGAGCTGGGCCCGGGCTACCGACTGTTGGCTGGGCGTGGCCAGGTGAGCCCGGGTAAGCGGCGTGTGGGAGGGAGGGTCCACTGAACTTATTTCTTGGAGGGAGACTGCCTCCCCTCTCAGACCCCGCCCCAGGTCTGGGCCTGGCCAGACACCTCAGCTCTTGAAAAGCAGGCTTGTTCTGTGTGGTCTTGGTGGGGGCGGATCGAGGGCAGCGATTTCAGCATCTTCTTTCATTCAGCACACACATGGACCAAGCTCTTCTCCCAGCCTGATGCTCCAGAAGCGGAACACCACGTGGTTCCACCCTTGCAGATGATCGAGTGAGAACGTGCCTTGTCACAGTCTCAGCAAGGTAGTGAGCTCCCCGTCCTGGGAGGTATGTGTGCACGTGTACCTGTGTGCTGTGTATTTTGGGAGGGTGCTGCAGAGGTCTCCTTGGCGGGAATGTTGTAAAAGGAACCCAGGCCTCCCAAGGTCTCTGAAGGCCCCTTTTGCCCACTGGCACCCTTGGCCCTTGGTCGTGATGCCCACAGGGCTGGCTCTGGGCTTCCTCGATTGCTTCCTCTTCTCTCAGCTAGTCCTACCCAGCTGGGTGTCCACGGCTTTTATCACTTCCTGTTCTTCTAAAAGTTGGTAGCATTCAGAGCCCTCACCTGCACCCTGTCTAGGAGTTGGGGGCATAGGAGGGAGCCTGGGGGTCTCTGAAGGTGTCCCCCCTCCGGTGTGGCGTCAGGTCGGGCGGATGTGAGGTGCCGGGGACGAAGGCTGTGCCCTTATCCTAACCCGCCGTGCCTCCCCCAGGTGCGCCCGCAGCTCCGGGACTCCCGGCCTCGGTCTTGTCGTTGGAGCCTGCGTGACTCTGGCCACAGGGGCACAGGGAGCAGCTGTCGGCGGTTTTCTGGAATCCTGGCTCTTTCTCCCAAGACCTTATTCTGCCCGACTCCCGGGATGGAGTCTCTCCTGCGTGGATGCCAGGCAACTCCTGGTCGATGCTCCGTGAAATGGGGACCTGGCTAGGGAGGCCGGCTCCAGGGGTGTGTGGGCGGCCGGCAGCCCGCCGAGGCCTCTGCAGCTGCCTGGACCTGCCTTCTGGGCCTTCACTTTCTGACCTTGCGCGGACTTGGCTCCTCCTTGACCTTCTGCTGGTGGTACGAGCCAATCGGGGCAGAAGCCTCACTGACCGCACCCTCCCCAAGGCCTGGTCCTGAGGACCCTACAGGATGGGGGGGGGGGGAGGAGCACCAGGTGGGAGCCGGGAGGAGCCGCCAGTGGGAGGGGGCAGGGCAGCTCTGCTCAGTCTCTTGTGCCCCATCTGCCCTGTGAGTGGTGGGGATAGTTCGTGCTCTTCTTCTATCTGAGGGCCACTGGGAGGAGGCCGTCAGGGTCTGGGAGGGGCGGCTGTGGGTGTGGGTGTGCTTTCCTGGAAGAGGAGGGTTTCCAAGACAGGAGGAGACCCAGCCCAGGGGTTCCCCTTGGAGCCCTGCCCCTCGATTCTGTCATTGTGGGGCGAAGGCAGGCGAGGCAGGCCCCACGCTACTCCCTTCACACAGGTTCGCACCCACCTCGCCCTTCTCCATTCATCCCAGCCCTTCCGGAGGGGCCGGTCCCAGTGTTTGCTCAAGACCCGCCCTGGACTGCCTCAGGCGAGCTTCAAGCTAGACACCGTTTCCCCAGGGTGGGGAGGGGCCGTGTTGGTCAGCTCCGGCTGCCGGGTGGAATGGTGTAAATGGCAGAAATGTATTTTCTCACAGTTTTGGAGCTGGAAGTCCAAGATTAAGGTGTTGGTTTCCCCTGAGGCCTCTCTCTTCGGCTTGCAGGTGGCCACCTTCTCGGTGTCCCCGTAAGACCTTTTCTCTGTGCACACACCCAGAGGTGGGGTGGGGAGGGGTAAATCTGGTCTCTCTCTCTCTCTCTTTTTATGAGGACATCAGTCCTACCAGATTAGGGCTCCACCCTAACTCAGCCTTAATTACCTCTTGAAAGACCCCATCGCTAAACAGTCACAGTGGGGGTTACGGCTGAAACCTCTGAATTTGGGGAGGGATACCAACTAGTCCATTCATTACAGGCAGTTGGAACAGAGTGTGGGGGGCCTGGGCGAGGGTGGCCCTGGGTGCCTTGGGGACGCACAGAACTGGCTGGACTCAGGGCGGTGAGGAGGAGCCCCCAGGAGATGGATGTCCTGGGAAGAGCCTGGGCTTTGGGCTGAAGGTGCACACCCGTCGGTACCACCTTGGGCACGTCCCCTCCCCTCTGTGAGTCTCCACTCGGTGGCAGGGGTCATCTTCTCCCCTGGGGGGAGGGTGGCCTGGGGGGATTCAGTGAAATCAAGTGCCGGCACAGGGCCTGCGTTTTAATAGGTGCTCAGGAGATGCTCCCCCCGCCCCAGGAGTTTAGATCTAGGATTTGCCTTTTTTCTCTGCGCTCTGGACTGTGAAGTCAGCATCTTCTGATCCAGAGGCATCTTGGACTAGCCCTTCCCCTGCCTGTTTTCTTAAGATCCCTGAGCAGCTTGGGGAAGTGGCCGACTTTTGTGGCCTCCGCAGTAGCTCCGAAGCAGCTCCGAAGCAGCTCCGAAGCTTCCTGGGGTATCGATCACATCAGCACTGAGCGTCTGCTGGGAGCCCTTCCCCGGGCAGCCACTGGGGAGGGGTCCAGGTGAAGCTCTAGCCGTGGTTCCAATGCTCAGACTTCACAGCCTCGCTGAGCAGGAGAAAAGCAGCTCCCCAGAGAGAACTGGAGAACGGGGCAGAAACCCGTCCGCTGAGGCGCAGGTTCTGAGAGCTTGGCTGTGGGAGTAAGATCCCAGAGTGGGCTGTAGTAGCCTGGACAGAGTTCCCAGCAAGGCCGACCCCATCAGGGCATTGAAAGCTGAGAAAGATGTGGCTTTGCAGAGAGCTTCCAGTGGGTGTCGGGGTGAGGGGTGCAGAATTAGATGCAGAGATTTCCAGGGTGAGCTCCAAGAGATGCCGTTGCTCTTAAATTTAAAAAAAAAAAAAAAAGCGAGCTCAAATTCAACAGGTTTCTGAACTGTGGGACCTAGCAGAACCTTTGCAATGCTGGTGGACCCTGAGTGCTCAAGGATGGGGTGTGTCCCCCAGACTTTACTGGGCAGAATCTCAACAGAGTGCCAGTGAGGCCTGGGAAGTGCTGAGGTTTTTTGGGGGAAGTTAACACAGCAGTGATGGGCGAGGCCATAGTGGGGCGCACACAGGTGCTTCGCGACATTGGCTGGCAACGCCATAGACCAGGAGGGGAAAGGACATCTGACCTTGGCTCCGGGTGGTGGTGAGCTCAGCGCAGCTCGGGGATGAGGCGGAGACAGCTTGTGGTTGGAGCAGCCAGAGGCCCAGCTGGTGGTGACCAGAGGACGAGCCCACTGCACACAGTGGTTCTGGGGCATCGGCCCTTTCGTGGGAAGATGTGGTGTGTGCACGTGTGTGTGTGTGTGTGTGTGTGTGTGTGTGTGTGACTGTGACAGGATCCAGCCCTCTGGGAAGGGCCTGACCAGAACCAAGCAGGGGGTTTCTAGCCAAGACAAGCGAGGTCTATTTTCGAGGGAACTGAAATGTTCTGTGGGAGGGTCTCTGAGGCCCACGGTCGTGAAATCGGGAAGCAGAATGCTTCTGGGCAGGGTCCACGTGGATGGTCTTGGTTCGGGTGGGGCTGTGGGGCCCGGAGGCAGACCCCCTGCCCTGGTCAGGCCAGGTTCCCTGGCTGGAGGGGCCGGGCAGTGTTGCATGGTGTGATTAACCTACTAACCCAGGGCTCGGCCGGGACGCTGTGGCGTGTGACCAGGTGCCTGGCCTTCTGCCAACCGACTAACCCACTAACCAGGCCCGAGCATGCCCTACTAACTCCCCGCAGCCTGACCCTACTAACCTTGCAGCTCAAGGGCCTTTCAAGGGGCTGGGACGTGGGGGCAGATGAAGCTCCGGAAGGCCCTGCCCACGGCCTGGGGTCTCTGTGCGGACCCACAATCCAGGGCAGGGCACGCAGTAGGACTCCTCGGTTCTGCCACTTCCTGCTGGGCGTCTTGGAGCAGTCACCTCACCTCTCTGAACTCCATTTCCTAAGCAGTGGTTTGGGAGTCTTGATCTTGACCTCGTGGGGTTCAGTGAGGAGTCCTATGAATATTAAGGACTTGACAAGTGGCAGATGCTTAAAAAAAAAGGTGCTGGGGTGAGGGTGGGAGACCCAGAAAAGCTGGTTGACCGTGAACCCTGCCCAGCCCTGGGTCGTCTGGGCGTTCTGCACAGAGACCCTGCTGCCTGGGGCCAGACACTTGCTTCGAACCCCGACCGTCTCTTCCCCACACTCTTCCTCCTCAGCCTTCTTTTCTGTAGGCGGCTCTTGTGTCCGATTACTAACCCGTCTAACCCGGAGGGGTCTCACGTGCACCCCGACCGTCCCTTAACAAACTAACGGGCCCGCTGTGTTCTTCCTTTTCTCCTAGCGCCTCCTGTGTGTGTCTGCTGAGGTGCCCCTGTCTGCTGGTGCTGTGCCCTGACTTACTAACCCAGCCTCTACTAACCCTGTTTTCTCTTCTTACTAACCCCAGCCCTGCCGAGCTCTGGGCCCCCTCGGGGGCTGGTCCTCCCTCCTTTTGGCAAGCAGATGGCCTGGGGCTGGCCCTGCAGGCAGGTGCTCCACTTGGCTGCCCCAAGTGGCTGTGAGCTCAGAGCCCATGGGGCCAGGTCTGAGGCAGGGGACAGTCCTGTTGACAGTACGGGTGGCCCGGTGGAGGAGGTGGTCGTGCGGATGCGGAGGCTGGCCTCTGAGCATGAGCAGCTCTCTTCCGAGCGGGAGTCTGGTTGCCACTGGGAGTGGGCGGGACCAGGGCAACCTCTGGGGTGTGCGTGGGGGGTCCTGTGGGTCTAGAGTGTGGCGCTCTGGGCTTTTTCCAGCCCAGCCAAGGGATCGGAGAGAAGAGGCCCCTGTGTCCTTTGAGTGAGGGTAGAATTTTCCCCTTTGGAAAGTTGGGTTGCACAGGAAGTCAATGGCCGGGGTGGTGTCCCTCATCGGAAGTCAGCAAAGGGGCTCACCTTGCACTAGAGGTCAGTAAGGGAAGCCAATAAAAGGTTTTTCCCCATACTGGAAATTACTGAGTGGAGCATCTAGCACAGGAAGTCAGCTAGAAAGAGCATTTCCCATGCTTGAAGGATGGGAAGAGGGCATTTCTTACAGCAGAAGTCAGCAGGAGGGACATAGTTGACCCGTTCTCAAGGCGATCTGGCCAACAGATCAGTGAGAGTGGCTGCCCCTACAACAGGAAGTCGGCCAGAGGGGCCCTTCCCCTACTGGAGGCTGGGATACCTGGACCTCTCATACCGGAAGTGGAAAGTAGATAAGGGCCATTTATCTTGCTGAAAGTCATTGAGAAGGGCTGTCCATGCCAGGAAGCTTGAGAAGGCAGGGGAGAAAGCAGAGATACTCTGCTTTTCTGGGTTTGGAGTTTGCAGGAGGAGGAAGTGGGAAGCAAGAAATGAACCCCAGGGCCCCACAGGGTTCTGCAACAACTCAGGCCAGCTGGGAGCTTGTCCCTGGCCCTCTGTCCTGTTCTGACCCACACCCTGGCCCCAGCCCGCCTCACCCAGAGCCCGCCAGCCGCTAGGCCAGGGCCACACCTGGGGGTGACTGTACCTCACCTCCAGTAGGCACCTTGGTCTCTTTGGGCTATTCTCTGGCTCCCTTGCACTAACCCTTGCTCTCACCCAGCTAATCCCTGCCTTGCCCTGGCTGTCCCTTGGGGGAGCTGATCATTAACAGCCAGCCCTGCCTGTCCGGGGGCTCCAGGCTCAGCCTGGCTCTGACCGGCTCTTAATTAACCTCTCCTTCAACCTCAACTAACTCCTGCCCTCCTGGTCTGTTCCTTTCAGCAGAAACTAACGGCTTGTGGATTTCCTCCTGACTAACAACAGGTCTAACACTCCTCACTGTTGCCGTTGACAGCGTGGATGTCCCCATGGCTGGGTCGGGGGAGAGGGGCTAACACACGTCTGGACTCTGACTAACACAGGGAGAGGCATAGCTAGTAGCCTTGGACTTGGCGAGCGCTCTGGGTCAGAACCGTCTGAAGTCAGTAAAGAGCGAGGGGCCGTAAAGGAGACACAGGGCCCGGGGGAGGGTGGTGTCCTCTGGGGTGGGGCCAGGAAGCAGAGCCAGCCTTCCAAGGTGTTGGCCACTGGACACATTCTATTAACCCCTCATTATCTGCATT